GTGCTGAGGCAGGAGAGCCCCGCGGTGCCCCGGCCGGCGCCGAGGGGAGGGAGGCACAGCCCTCGCCGCATCGCAACTCGCGGCTCCCGCTCTAAACTTCATCCCACGCTCCCCTTCCCCGCCCCAGCGGTGTTTCCCGGGCTCTGGCAGGGAGCTGGCGCTCCTGCCATGCCGCTCTGCGGCGTGTCGCGTCCCTTTAAATCCGCCTAGCTGACAAGGCACCCGCGATCCTTCTGGAAGAGCGCTGTGGATCTTTCTTTCCTCGTCCAGTCACCATGGTTGCATCGCAAGTGCTCGATTCCACTTGACTAACTACAGATATTTGGCGGTCTCATTAAAGAAGGGAGGTTTCCTTGTCGCCGTAGTTCAGTTATGGGATGCTGTAATTGTAGGAAAATTACTCGGTTCTTAGTGCAGCCTTCACCTGTGGAAGTCTCTGCCCTCCAAAATATTTGTTGTTGTTTATAAATGTACGTACTGTACAGAATAAAAGTGCAGGGAGGGAATCATTGATGTGTTTCACTTTACTCATTAGAGAAGGGTTGAGTTTGACTCTGTGAGACACTGTAGTTGTACAAGACACTCGTGGACTGCTATCACAGATGATAATGTGGGGACTCTGGGATAAGGCGTAATGATTTCAATTTAGCCGAGACATTAAATAGGATTCTTTACCAATTTTCTTATTGTAGCTTGGTATGTGCCATGTCTAGCTTCACTTGAGACCCTCCAAGAATTATGTAGGAAGGAAAATCTCAGATGTAAATCCATTGGAATCACCAACAGGAATCTAAAGAGTTATGAGGTGGAATATTTGTGTGACTACAAGGTAGAAGAGGTAAGAGAAACACAGACCAATTTGATCACTCTTTCAGCTGAAATTTGGAAGCGAGCCAAAGGTAGTTTTGCTCATAATATAAAGTAGTAGGCTGTGAGGACAAAGCTCTTGCTGACATCGAATTAAATATCTTTTAAACTTTGAACTGTAAACAGAAAGCGGTATAACTACTGCTTTCGGTATGTTGAAGGAAGGTCTTTTTCTGAAATTACAGAGATGTTAGAATATGAAATGTTTCGCCTTTGCGTATCTAGAAGTTAAGCAAAATGCTGATGCTTTTAGGTTGTAGCTTGGTATGTATTATGATGCTTCTCCTTTATTTGCAGGTAACAGTCTATATTTCTCTCTTGACTGTTGTAGTCTGTTTGATGAAGAGTTAGGGCCACGTGCTGCAACTGGATTCCTATGGCTTGATCGTGCCAGTGAAATTCAGTCTCAGGATTTGGCCTTGTTACAGTTATTTGGCCTTTTTAAAATCAGTACAAAATGTATGCTTCTTGATTATAAATACAATATTACATGTTTTGAATGGATTACTCCTTTGGGAGGATGGTTGATATGACATAGTGCTTTTCAGAGATTTTTCTGGTAAGTTTAGAATTTTTTTTTTTGTTTTGTATGTGATACAACTACATTCTGCTTGTGCATACCAGTCATGCAACTAGTAGTTAGTTATACAGTTAGTCTAACTTACTTAACGGCCTTAACAAACTAGCCTCCTCCAGGTATAACGTTAGCGATCAGAGTTCATCCCAGCTGTTTATTTCTTTGCCCCTAGAGATGATATGTAAAGTATCCAAAGTTGTGCTATACGTTGATTTGCAAACAGAAAACTTGTTTTTTCTCTTTCTCCCCAATTCTAACTGTTATGGGGACATCAAGACCTTCTGCACTGTGTGCCGTTTCTTAACTCCAGAGCTCTTTTGTGTTTGTCTGTGCACTCTGTGATGCTGGAATTCAGCAAAATGAAATGTGGCTAAATCTGTATCTGTTTCTGTATTTCAAGGGCACAGAATACTATCTTGTGAAATGGAAAGGATGGCCAGAATCTTCAAATACTTGGGAACCTCAGAAAAATCTGAAATGCCCATTGCTTCTTCAAAACTTTCTTAGTGACAAGAATGAATACTTGTCTCGGGTGAGAGATGGCAAAGCACTGAAAGTGAGAAACCATGTTAAAGCTTTGAAACCTGCGGTTGCAGATTACATTGTAAAGAAGGCTAAGCAAAGAATAGCTCTGCGGAGATGGAAAGAAGAGCTCAACAGGAAAAAGAATCATAAAGCAATGATTCTGGTAGAAAACACTGTGGATCTTGAAGGCCCTCCTTTAGACTTCTACTACATTAATGAGTATAAACCTGCTCCGGGAATAAATGTAATAAACGGAATAACGACTGGCTGTGAATGCGCTGACTGCCCCGCTGAGAAGTGCTGTCCAAAGGAGGCTGGATTTATTTTGGCTTACAATAAACGAAAGAAGTTGAAAATCCAGCCCGGCTTGCCCATCTATGAATGCAATTCGTTTTGTAGGTGTGGGCCTGACTGCCCTAATAGGATAGTACAGAAAGGTACACCGTATTCTCTTTGCATCTTCAGAACTAACAATGGCCGTGGTTGGGGAGTAAAAACCCTCCAGAAAATTAAAACCAACAGTTTTGTCATGGAGTATGTTGGAGAGGTACGTATTTATCTCATATAGATGAATTATT